CTGCACTGCTTCCCGCGCCTTGGAGGAGCCCGGCGGCCTGCGCTCCGGCGGTGGGACCGGCGCCTCTTTGGTTCTCTTTGGGCGCCAGATGGTTGTCTTGGTTACGGCTGCTAGCGGTGCCAGAACCTGCGCGTGGAGGGGCTGCAAGCAGAGCGGCTGACTGCCGACGCCCTCGGTTCCCCTAGGAGTCTGAGGTGGTGGCGCGTCCAGCTTTGGTTGTGCAGTAATTGACGCTTTGGAGGTAGCTTGCGGTTGTCTTCTGGTCTTTTCCGCGCGGGGCGAGGGGTCCCCTTTGTTGCCGAGTTTGGGACTTAGTGACAAGCGGATCGTATGGGCAGCCCCAGCCACTGAGCCTCTGTGATCCAGAGGAATTGTTTTTCATTTTCCTTCTCTTACTCCCTTCCCTTTATAGAAGAAACCGACCTTTCCTCCCCACAGATCTCTGGTTATTAGGAAAATTCATAGACAGTACCGTAATTTAGTATATTGCATTGCAAACGAGGTTGCTCACATGCTTGTGAAAGGCTGAGACATTCTGTTTAGAGTAGTCGAGTTTTTCTCTTTCTTTTTTCTGCAGTCTAGCAAGTCTTATAAAAAATGTCTGTCTCATTGCTTCCCCATTTAAAATATTTTTTTTTCAGTGGTGCCTCACGTTTAAGGCCGTACAGTTTTGATATTTAAGTGTGTGTATAGGAGTCTAGGGAAATCACTCTTCTAATTCACAAAAATTTGCTATCGCTACTGTTTTCCACAGTTTTCAGTTCTCCACTACTATACCAACCTTAATATCTGTATAATTTATTCTTTACCGCACCTGTTTAAACCCTTCAAGATTTTAAGTCCTACTTCTGTATAACTTTAACTCAGAAGTGATTTCAAGTTTGTGTTGCTTTTCAGGTGCATTCTGGGGTATTGATGGGCTTTGCCCTTTCACATTTGTGTCTTCCAACTAAGATTTCTGCCTCAAGAAATTTTTTTTTTTTAAATTGACTGGGGGGTCACAAGTTCAGGCTGTAACTCAGTGCCCAGTGCATTTGCCTAGAGTGCTCTAGGCCCTGGGTATCATCCCCTGCACCCTAAAACAGTAAGGACTGAGTTCAACAGTAGGGTTGAATGAATCTGTGTTTGATTTGAGCAGTAATTTACTGTAGTAATCTGTCTTAGGTTTGAGGTTCTTCACGTTGTCATTTAAGACTCTTTAGTATCTCAATGCACTCTGCTTTCTACTAGTGCCTTAGTATATTTAAATTAATAATTTTTAATCTACAGGAGGTTGAATTAGAAAACTGACTCATAATAATAAAAGATGTCTCGAAAAATTTCTAAAGAATCAAAAAAAGTGAACATCTCTAGTTCTCTGGAATCTGAAGATATTAGTTTAGAAACAACAATTCCTACAGATGATATTTCCTCATCTGAAGAGCGAGAAGGTAAAATCAAAATCACCAGGCAGCTAATTGAACGAAAAGAACTGCTTCACAATATTCAGTTACTGAAAATAGAGTTATCTCAGAAAAATATGATGATCGACAATTTGAAAGTGGATTATCTTACAAAGGTAAGAAGATCAAGTATAAATTTTATTTACATGCTTGATATTCTTTATAGATAAATAATTATGTGTTTTTAAGCTATAGATTAATAAGATTAATAATACTTAGTCCAGGACAGCCTATTAATACTTTGAAAGATAGGGTAATTTAAATATGAAAAGGGGTAAATTCTTTTGGCTCAATTTTTAGCTCCTTGCATTATGTGAGGTGTAGATTTTCATAGGTGTGATTTCTAACCAAGCTGTTGTCTGCTTCACTGACCCTGATGTGATTAGTTTGGTAAGAAAAATCAAGATCATCATTATTCAACTGAATAATCATACATTATTCAATCTATATTGTCCTTTGCCCTAGAGATTTGATTTCTTTGGTTGGTATCTTTCTGTTTGCTTGTTACTATGTCATAGTAGGAGCCATAAATTCACATACCATGTTCTTCAGTTTGCCATCCAAATAAGGTTATCCTTGTCCAGTGGTGGCAAACCTATAGCACATGTGCTGCAGTAGAAATGCAGAGCCCTCTCTGTCAGCATGGGAGCCAAGTTCAAGCATTGCCTCAGCAGCCAAGCATTCAGGTTTAATTGCAGTGTTGTCATTCTGTGATAGAAAAATGGTTTTGTTTTGCCGTTTGGCACTCAGTCTCTAAAAGGTCCACCATCATTGTCCTACTCCTTGTTTTTCAGCCATGTGTGATTATTTATAGTTATAGAGCAGTTTCTGCAAGACCTGGTAATTTTAACTAACCATAGGAAAGAGATAGATACACAGATAGATGATGTATATTTTTCAAGGCCTACCTGGTGTTATTTTTTTGGAATTGTCTCCTTACTGTAAGGACAGGGACATATTTGTATTGCTGTTATATCTACAGCATTTAGAACACACTGCCTGTCACATTTTAAATGCATGACTGTTCCCTGTTCTTTTTTTTTTTTTTTTTTTTTTTTTGAGACGGGGTCTCACTATGTGGTTGAGACTGACCAGGAACTCACTATGGAGCCCAGGCTAGTCTTGAACTCACAGTGATCCTCTTGCCTCAGCCTCCCAAGTGCTGGAATTACAGGGATGCATCACCACACCTGGCTCCTTTTGTTTTTAAAGAAACAAAACCCCTGGGTTGTTAAAAGCAAGGCCTCTCAGCTGGAAGTGAGGGAGCCAGAGGTAGGATTCAAATGTACAAGCCCATACTCTGCAAAAGTGAATATCCAAACATTTACTCTTAGGTGCCTTACACAGGCATCTCCCTAGATTAGGTCACTTGGTACATTATGAGAAATCATGTTGCTTTTGCTCCACAGTGCTATTAGCTCATGTATCCCTCCTTCTCAAGATTCCCTTTAATGCAACTCATTGAAAAAGGCCTGAGTTAATATCCCATTCAGTAATTTACTTGCTCAGTAAACAAATACTTCATTAACCACTTAATAGTTTACCCAGAGCAGAACTTCACTTGGGCTGTTCATGTGTTTACATACTGACTATCCCAAGTATTGCTCAGGCGGTGTCATTTCAACCAGTCAGTTCTTGCATTGAATAAATTTGATAAAATTGTCATTTGTATATTTCCTGTTATGTTATAAAAAGTGATGAAAAAAATGTAGTTTCTGGTCATCCTGTGTTTCAGCAGTTGGACTGATAAGTGGTTGATTACTGTCTTAATTACTTATCTTTTTGCTGAGACAATACCCAACACCCAAAGTTAAAGGAGAAAGGCTTGGCTCACAGTTCGTTGAGGTTTCAGTTCATAGTTAGCTGGCTACAAGGCAGGATGGCGTAGCAGAGAAGAAATAGTCCCTGGCAAGCAGGCAGGAAAAAGTATACTAGCCCTCTTTCTGTCTCTTGTATTTTATGCAGGCTATCTGCCCTAGGGCTGGTGTAGAACTCAGACCCTTAATCCTAGCCAGAACTAAGTCAAACCAATCAGTGGGCTGATTTAGTAATCATACACCCTTGTTCCCAGCACCACACCCTCTAAATCTGGCTACCTGTGAAAAGCACCCCCATAACTGTGTGAGGCTTAGGGGGGAACATCTAGACACAAGCCATAGCAAGGACTATATTACCACATGGAAACCTACATTTTCTTTGGCCTCTTTTGTTCTCCACTTGTGATGTACTTGATTATTAATAGATTTTCTTAGTTTTGAGTTTTACATTATAGAAATGAGGACTGATTTTTAAGCTGTCTAGTATAACACATTATACTTACAGATCTAAGTACACATGGCTTGGAATTAATTTCCAGCCTTACCAGTTGCCTTAGGCAAATTCCTTCACTTTTCTATTTCTTTTTTTTTTTTTTTTTTTT